TTGTACAACAACCTCAAACGTAATCTGGAGAATCTGAGGTCTCACTTTGAACCTGAAGTTTAGTGAATGCTGACCAGTTGTGAGTAAAAATGTTTTCTTATGCGACATTTCATCATTATAACAACTGGTAAATGTGTCATTATTATCTGTGCTTTTTTTAAACCAGATAGTGAGGGATCCACTGTCTTTAGCAGCCTCACATAGCTCCTTTTCTCACTGTTTCTTCCTCCTGTCCTCACAGGGCATTTCTAGACAATGTTCATGAGTAATAACTTTTAAAAATCTATACACACAAAACACACACACATTCATATATGCACATACAGTGACATTTTATACCTTCTCCAGAATACTATATACTATGACCTAGTGTCCTAGTGCTGTAATAATAAATGAATACAAATAAAAAATAAAGTAATAAATATGAAATAACGTATTTATAATGATACAAATTGTTTGACTATCCACTCTCTGCAAGCAGAAAGCTTATTCAATTTTTAAACTGTAGAGAGAGAAAATCAGCACTTTGTCATGTATGAAATATAAATCTAATAGAATTTGTTTCTTAATGTTTTGTTCTTTAAAACACATTTGCAATGGTAGTCAGTAACATAAGCAGCAAATCAAGATAGCTGAGTTGTTACATGTGTAGTGATATTTTGAAGACCGAAAACCTGTACACCTTGAACACTGCAGTGGAAGAAGCAGTGGAAGAAACACCATGAGTACATGTCATAAGTTTGGATATACCTCCTTATACAGTACAGGGATTTTAGTGTTTTTTTTCCATAGTGTACAACAATACTGAAGACCTCAAATGAATGAAATAACAAAAATAGGATTATGATATAGAAGAAAGTTTGCCTTTTTTAAATTTTCAAATGAGTTTGCTTTGATTACAGCTTTGCACACTGCAGCACTGCATCACAGAGGGTCTCAGGAACAGTGTATGATCTGAGCATTAGCGCCAGATGACACTTTGTTGAAAATAAGTATCACAGTAATTTAATGCTCCCATCGAGTTTAGTTACATGTGGAGAAGTGGCTTTCCATACTAGGCAAAAGTTTTTAACACTGTTTTGACATTTTAAACAGTTTAATAACCTTGCTAGTATAGGTTCATTGTTGATCCATGGTATAAAGTTCAGTTGTAATGTCTTTACCTCCAATCTTTTATTTTTTTTAAACCTGAAAAAGTTTTCCTTACTTTATGACTGTTCCACACCAGGTTCTGCTGGTAAGAAAAAAGCTAAATAGAATAGAAACACAAATGTGTGTTTTACTGTAAATATGGTAATTGCCAAACCAACATATTTCTGTGGGTTATTTAAATTCAACATATTTCCAACCTATGCATTCATCATTCATCCTATAGGTGAAGGTAGGGACATAGATCAACTGATAAATTGGGAGCTTTGCTTTCAGGCTCAGCTCTCTCTTTACAACAACAGAGCAATGCAGTATCCATGTAACACTGTCAGGTTTCCTGGGTCATTGACCCAGTGATTTCAGTTTGTTCATGTTCAGTTTATTTTGCCACATCAATGTTGTTCTCACTTCCTGTTTTTCCGTGTCAGCTTGTCTCTTGTGTCGTTAGCCAGATTATGTTCAGCTGTTCACTCACCGGTCTCTCATTATCATCCTCATCAGTCTGTGTATTTAAGTCCTCGGTTTTCCTCAGTTCACTGTCGTGTCATTGATGTGATGTTGTCGTTGCCGTGTGTGCAGTATACTCAGTCAGCTATCTCATCTTCTGTTCCGCTCCTCCGTTCATCCCGTCTGTAATAAATCACCAGTCTTCACCTACCTGGGAGTCCTGCGTTTCGGTTCTTTCTTCTTCACCTCCACACAACTCCTGACACACACCAGCTGTGTTGCTAGTCCATATGGCGATGTCCCTTTCCCTTCTTCCCTCACTCATGAAAAAGACCCTTAAACTACACTCAATCTCATGCACTCTCCCACGGTCCTTCCCCACCAGTGAAGATCCCACAGTGCTTCAATAATGGAGCACTGTGGGAGCACTAAGGAGGCCAAACCATAATAAACCCATGTTCCATTGTGTGTGTATGTGTGTGTGTGTGTGTATGTGTGTGTGTGTGTGTGTGGGG